ACTCCATCTCAAAAAAAAAAAAAAAAAAAAAAAAAAAAGTTCTTGCTGGATACAGAGGCTCATGTCAACACTTTGGGAAGCTGAGAATAGAGAATCACTTGAGGCCAACAGTTTGAGACCAGCCTGGGCAACACAGCAAGCCTCCATCTCTACAATTGTTAAAAAAAAATTTTTTTTTAAATTAGCCAGAGGTGGTGGCATGTGCTTGTGGTCCCAGCTACTCAGGAGACTGAGGGAGGAGGATTGCTTGAGCATGGGAGCCATGCTGGAGCCACTGCACTCCAACCTGGGGAGGAGATGGAGACCCTATCTCAAAAAATATACATACATATATATATGTCTACATGTTTATATATGTAAACATACAAAACATGTTTTAAGTGACTGCTTACGTCAATTAACAGAAAGCTATAACTAATTAAGTTCTTGAGGAATCAAAAGCTACACATGGATTTTCAACTATATGAGGGATTGTTATCCCAACTCCCAGGTTGTTCAAGGGTCAACTGTACAGTTGCATTTTAAAAATGCTAATGGACCAAGTCAATACCACTTAGAGGTTAACACATAACAGGTTAATGAGTTATGCAATTCTGGCCACGCCATACATAGAAATGAACCACTTGGTAACTAGCCAGGAATCTTCAAAGTGCTATAGTCATGAAAGACAAAGACTGAAAGACTGATGCAGATGGAAGAGGACTAAGGAGACTTGGAAACATCTGTGATCTTGGTTTGGACTTCGGGCCAGAAAAAAGGGCATTGATGAAACAGTTGGTGAAAGCTGAATAAATTCTGTAGATTAGTTGATAGCATTGTAGTGATGTTAATTCCCTAGTTTTGATCAATGTATTGTACTTATATAAAGTGTTCACATTAGGAAAAACTGAGTGAAAGATATATGGGAATTCTTTGTCCTATTTCTGTAATATTTGTGTAAGTTTCATATTATTTCAAAATGAAAAGTTAAAAAAATGGTTATTAAATTTTAAGAAGTATATCATTTAGGGATAGACATGAAGTTGCAAGAATCTGAAACCCATATGAGAGATGGAAGTTCTTACTTTGCAAAGTGCTGCACTGATATCGACAACTGGAGAAGGGGATGTGTTCACAACTTACATTGGAGGAACTGTTCCCTGGTGCGGGGCTCAGGTTTTGAAGTCCAGTATTTGCGCTGAACAACAGCAGACGCTTGAGTTCTGATGTCATACTCCTCTAGAAAATCAGAGAGTTGTGAATTCACACCTGTGCAGGTGGTCAGGAGAATCTGTGAATCAGGACTTCCCAGCCACCCTTCCCTGGGCTTCCTGGGGAAAGAAGGGGCTGAAGCCTAGTAACGTCTCACAGAAATATGCTCAATGGACTACAGTCCTTTCATAGGTAAGGCAGAAACCACTGAAAAAGTGATCCAGATTGTCTTGGATTTAACTTAAAAGTACAGGCAACAGCAACCTGAGAAGCTAGTCATAGAAATGCCAGCCAATGGCATAATATAAGCATGACTAACTGACCTTCTCTGGGTCTCAATTGTAGAATAAAACCATCAAGAACAGAGTCCATGAGTAACACAGTCAGTCGGAAGGATGGCTTTGAAAATGAGACATTACGCTGAGCGGGTGGATCATGCCTGTAATCCCAGCACTTTGGGAGGCTGAGGCGGACAGATTATTTGAGGTCAGGAGTTTGAGACCAGCCTGGCCAACATGGTGAAACCCCATCTTTACTGTCTCTACTAAAAATACAAAAATCAGCCGGGCATGGTGACAGGTGCCTGCAATCCCAGCTACTAGGGAGGCTGAGGCAGAAGAATCTCTTGAACCTGGGAGGTGGAGGTTGCAGTGAGCCAAAATCGTGACACTGCTCTCCTGCCTGGGCAACAGAGTGAGACTCTGTCTGAGACTCTGTCTCCATAAAAAAAAAAAAAAAAAAAGAAAAGAAAATGAGATAGTCACCCTGATTTCATCCTCCCTTCCCTATCTCTCACCTTCCTATCATGTACTGCTAGAGACATACCCGCCATAGCTGATGGCCCAGAAAGCATCTCACCTTCCTTGGCAAACTCCTGGAGCTTTTCCTTATAGTCCTCCAACAACTGGATTAAGTGTACAGTGGGGTCCGTGATGACTTTGCGGATGCCCGAGAGTTTATCCTTCAGCCCTATGTAAACACTAGGGAAGGTGATGTCTTCAGTATTCTTAAACTTGCAGTATTCCTGCAGAAAAGAAAACAGCAGAACTTGCTGTGGTTTCTGTATTCTAAAATCACATTTCTCTCTTCATTAAGTCACTTTTCGCATCTGTAAAATGGGCTGACAGTACTGTGTCCTTCACAAAGTACATGTAAAATTTCAAGCTCAGGGTCTAACAAAATATAAAGCACTTTTCTAATGTTGCAGAATATTCAGGAGACTGGAGAGACCAATGGGTGAAACAGGAGGATTTTATTGAGGCGGCCACTGGCTCAGCAGATTAGCATCCCAAGGCTGAGCAAAGGAGAAGGAAAACGGGGTATTTTTTAGACATTCAAGATGAGGAGTGCCTGTAATCCCAGCTACTCGGGAGGCTGAGGCAGGAGAATTGCCTGAACCCAGGAGGCGGAGGTTGCAGTGAGCCGAGATCGTGCCATTGCACTCCAGCCTTGGTAACATGAGAAAACCCCCAAAAAAAAAAAAAAAAAAAAAAGATAAGGTAGCAGCTAACAGGTTTCCAGAAGCCAGAACAAAGAAGAGTTAATTAATTTGCAACATGTTGTGATGTACTTTACATTTGAAAAGTAGCATTTTGAGAAACACATTGTACATTTTTTGGATGTTATCTTGCCCTGTGACCTTGCACCTGGTCAACAAGAAAAACAAGAGTCCTGAGATGCCTGAGAACTTTGCTGAGAATGTGAGAAGAATAAATAAGGTAAGTTTTACAGGGAGTTAGTTCATTTTACGCACAGCTGGGGGTTCAGTTTTATATTAAACAGCATACAACACAGCAAAATTTATTATATAGCAACTATAAATTATAAAGTTTTGTTTTTACTATTATTGCCATTATTTCCCTTCTTCACTAGCTGTTAGGCCCTCAAAATAAGTGGGATTTTTAAAAATCAAGTGAGAAAGTGGGTTTTTAAAAATTAAGATGTATTAGATGGACATGAACAGCTCCAATACACAGTGCAGACTGGAGACCAAAGACAAAAAATAAAGAACATTCTTGCTTTGTTCATTCCCTCAGTACTTGTTTTTTTGACAATTTTTAAACACAAGCCATGGTAGGAAATAGAGGAGCTCTCAGGCAGCAGTGCTACCTCTTCCTTGTCAATTTCATCCAATACATAAATTTCTGTAATGCTTATACCTTGCTTTAGCATTTACAAAGTGTTTTCAGACAAATAATTATAGTTTCACTTAAGTTTCAAAACAATGTGTTATCAGGAAGGATGCTTTCAGATGTAACACAGTATCAAACTTCAGCTGCAACTGAAGCATTAAAGAGCAGAGCAGGTATAGCAGAACACATAGCAAAACCATAGCAATTAAAACCATTGTATGAAAATGATTAGATAGGGCCATGGAAATAAAAATCAGAGAATTGATAGAGAAAGGGTGATTCAATATTTTAATGCTATATTCTGTACATGACAAAAGTAGCATTTATAATCAGTGGGAGAAAGGATGAGTTATTCAATAAATGTTGTTTTGAATGCCTAACCAACAATTTGGGAGGAAATGTTATCTTTCACCAAAATAAATAAATAAGTTACCTTACTCTAAAATTTATTTTATATGTATTAAAACCTTTTATGTTAAAGATAAAGTTACAAAAGGAGAAAAGAAAACAAAGAAAAATAATTTATATACTTTTTTTTTTTTTTGAGACAGAGTCTTGCTCTGTTGCCAGGCGCCAGGCTGGAGTGCAGTGGCACGATCTTGGCTCACTGCAACCTCTGCCTCCTGGGTTCAAGCAATTCTCCTGTCTCAGCCTCCCGAGTAGCTGGGACTACAGGCATATGCCACCATGCTCTGCTAATTTTTGTATTTTTTGTAGAGACAGGTTTTTGCCATGTTGGCCAGGATGGTCTCGAACTCCTGACCTCATGATCCACCCGCCTCAGCCTCCCAAAGTGCTGGGATTACAGGCGTGAGCCACTGCGCCCGGCCAATTTATACACTTTTTGGGTAGGAGATCTGGATGGAAACTTGTGAGGCAGAAAGCCAAATGCTTATTCATATTTTCTGTTTTGATATTGAAAAGCACAAAAAGAGAGACACTGTTGGTGTTTTTGTCTTTCTCAGCTTCTCTTTTACTCATTCAGAAGTTAACTATGTTGCATTTGTATATTGGGATTATGGATAATTTTTTTCCCTCTTTTTTTGTATTTTCCAAGTTTTTTAACAACAAACATTTATTTTTTGTAACTAGCAGAGAAATTTTTTTTAATGCCAGCAAGAAAAAAAATCATATTTCAGAATACTGGAGCTTGGATGGAACCTTCTGAATTATTTACTTCAGTGGGCTTGTAGATAAATGGGAAATTTGAGACCCAGAGAGGTTAAGAGCAGAGCTGTTTAGTGACAGATGTAGGAGGATGGTGTTTACCCCCAACCTAGCTTCCTTCCCTGAAAGGTTACATGTTTTTCAGGTCAGGCTCCAGTGGCTAGCGGTTTGTCTATTGATACATTGTAATGAAAAGCATTTCCTCTTCCCAGCCTTCTTAGTACTCCAGCCACAGCCCTCTCTGAAAAGCAGCAGGGCTCCAGTGTTATCCCTACCAAGCAAACCTCCATGCAGCAGACTGCTGGAGTGGTTTATAAAATATACTCACTGACTCTCATCATTCTCCCATCTGAAGTCCTTCCCTGCCAGACACCTGCCTGGCCATGCCAGCCTCATCACTCTGCACCCAGCATTCCAGACTCCACCCTTGTTAAAGTACCTTGCCTCCCCAAGTCAGCTGTGCTTCCTCAAACCTCTCTGCCTTTGCGTACATTGTTCCTTCTACCTGGAACATACTGCATATTGAACCCACTGATCTTCCAGGACCTGCTTCAAGCTTCCCTGCTCTGACCAGTCCTCCCTCCCTACCCCTCCTATATTCTACTGAATGAAGAATCTGCTTCTGTCTGTTCCACAGCTTCCTATGCACACCATTTATCAAAAGACAGTTCCATTCATAGACGGCCATGGGCCTGGCACAGCAAGGGCACTCTGAGGTGCAGCTGTGGGATGCCTCTGCCCCCTCACCCCCCATACCTCCAGGAACTGGACAGTGTTGCTGATGGCTGCGATCCTCTCCAGCTCTTGCTTGCTTTTCTCCATCTCGGCACTCCTGTACTCCAGGTGGGTCTTGATGCCATTGGCCTGGCTCAGAGCAGCGTGCTCCTTCTCCTCCAAAAAGAGCATCACATTGGCCTGGGCCTTCCTCACAGCAGCAAGGAGTTCCCCAAACTGCATCTCAGTCACTGCTTTGACCTCTGACACCGACACCTGGTTGGGGGACAGGGATTGAAGGCAGCCAAGCACCTGTTAGTAAGGTGTCCAACTTTACAGAAGCTCAACATAAAGAAATGTCAGCTTGAGAAACCCAAATATTAGGGAGTAGTTTTCTATTATAAAAGGAATCCTTTATTCTCATGTGAATTCCAGGTTTCTGGAAAAAGGATTTACTTACTAACTTGGTCTCCTCATCCAATTGATGAGAAAGTGAACCCCTCTATGACTTCTGAGCTCCCTCACAGCCCTGACACTCTGACTGTTAATCAAGTTTCCGAAATTGATTTTCCTACCAGAGCAATGCATGTGTTCAGTCTACTTGATAGTTATATTTCAAGAGGTAAAGAATTTGGCTTTTTTTATACAATCAGTAGCATGAATTAGCTTTCTTAGCATTTCATTATGCCTAGTCAAACTGACCACTGAGTCCATCAGAGGCAAATGCATGTCTAAGACGATACTGTCTCTACCACATGCAGAATTCTCGTAAAATGTTTAGAGTGTGTGTAGATGTCCACAGCACCAAGCAACTGCAGGACAAGCATATTATGTGCAGAACAGAATGTGACATTCAAATAAAATACAAAAGAAAACCCATGTGAGAAACACTAAGGGTTCGAATGATGGAGCACATGCATGTGGACACTTCCGCATGGTCAGCATCCTCTATGAATGCCTTCAATCAATATCATGTTTACAACATCCTTCCAAGTTCTGAAGGTTTCCATTTCTCTGGTATTCTTAGGAATTGGTGCAGACAGCTCAAACTGATATTGTCATAACATCTACACTAATTACCTATATTTTAAATAGAAGTCTTGCATAATATTTCCCGTGCTCAGACTCCCTTCGCTACCCCATCTCACAGCCCAAAGCCCATTCTCTGCCTGCCTGAGTCTACCTCATTGTCCCCACCCAGACCTATCTCATCTGAGACTTTCTGAGCACCCCTCCAGGTGCTGTTTTCTCTTTCTCCTCCCAAGGTTAAGGGCCAGCTCTGAACATCAGGGCTCCAAAATGAGTCAGAAGAGCAGACATCCTTGGGCAGAGGCTTCAGGGGCACCTCTCACCCCTGGCAAGAAAGGAGAGAGGGAGAGAGGGCGGGAGAATGAGACTCAGATCAAAAAGGGGCGCACAGTAGGGAGAGGACTCAGAAAGGATGGGACTGTGGGCCCAGGCCAGGTGGGAGCCTACAGGTTTGGAGGGAGATGGGAAGGAAAAATGACACCAGATAGGAGGTCTTCTGCCTGACTCAGGCCCGCTTAGGCCAGGGCTCAGGAATTCAGTCCATGAGAATGGCTCACCTCTGATCAGTCTTCAATCTGGTGGCAAATGGAAGAATAAGCAGCAGAAAGAAAGCAAGGGGTATCTCTACAGGAGGGGATGGTGTAAAGACAGAGAGACTCTCCCTACATTCTTTCTCTCTCTCTCTTTTTTTTCTTTCTTTCTTTTTTTTTTTTTTTTTGTTTTTTTTTTTTTTTTTTTTTTTTTTTTTTTTTTTTTTTTTTTTTTTTTTTTTTTTTTGGGCACAATCTCGGTTCACTGTAGCTTTCACCTCCCAGACTCAAGTGATCTTCCCACCTCAGCCTCCCAAGTAGCTGAGACCACAGGTGTATGTCATCATGCCCAGCTAATTTTTATATTTTTTGTAGAGACAGGATCTCACTATGTTGCCCAGGACGGGCTCAAACTCCTGGCCTCAAGCAATCTGCCTGCCTTGGCCTCCCCAAGTGCTGGGATTACAGGTGTAACCCACTGTGCCTGGCCTATATTCTCATTTTTATGCCAACTTTTCCACCACCGGTTGGCTTCCTTGAGGTTAGGCAGCTGGACAGAGCTGGGAGCAAATAAGCTGTGGTAATAGGATTAAGGAAGAGGGGGATGGTAGACTTTCTCCAAATTCTTCCAGCCTACACCCAGAAGAGCTTTAGGACAGCTGGTGGTGTTGAGACGCCAGGGCAACAGGAGAGGCAATTTGGGAAACCTGAGGCTACCTGGTGTTGTGGCTCCCTCTGGAGCCCTGGTGTTCAGGGCTGGCCCTCACCCTTCGGTGGAGGAAAAGCAGCACCTCAATCAGCTGCTCAGAGAGATCTCAGGTTAGATCAGGTGGGCACAATAGCAGAGAAGGAAGCAGGCAGAGAATAGGCTCTGGGCTGTGGATGGGGGGCTCAGACCACTGTCTGAAGAGTGAAGACCTGAGAACCAGGAAAGCTACCTGGGCCCCACCCAGGGTCCCCAAGTGGCAAACCTGCTCCCTGGGGCTCTGCCAGGTACAGGCTCTACAGCCCTCTGACACTTCACTTCTCTCCCTCTTCCCACTCACCTGGGAATGAAGACCCTCTGCTGCCAGTCTGGTCACTCTTCTAATTATATAACAATAATCATAAAAACCACCAACATGTAGTAAGTTCTTACTATGTGCCAGGTGCTGTCTCCTAGCAACCCTAAAAGGTACTATTAGGGTCTCCATTTCTTAAATAAGGAAACTGAGACAGTGATAAATGGACTGATTTTCCCAACATCACACTCTAGACTGTCTCTGGAGTCCATCCGCTTGACCACCATTCTACATTGCCTCGAAGTAGGGCCTAGGGTTAGGGATCCATGCGGCTGCAGTATAGCACTTAGCTGGCAAGCCCGACCTCTCCCTCTGGACCCTGGCACATTCACTAGGATGAGCTAGGGAGGCATATGAGGATTTCGGCTGAGCTTCAGCCCATGGGCTGTGGTCCTGTGGGGGTTGCAGGGAAGGACATTTAAGTTCAGCCCAAGGACATTTAAGAAGTCCTCCCAAGACCAGACAGACAGGTTTTAGCTTGTTCACTGTGGGCACCAGTTACGGGCACATCCTATGCCCATAAATACACAGGCTACTGCTGAGCAGGTGACCAAGAGGGAAAGAGGCCAAGCCTCCCCAGCAATTTCTGAACAAAATGTTTACAAGTGTTGCCTCCTTGACATTGTAAATACTGTAAATTCTAAGATATTAATCATGACTGGATTTAAATCTAAAAGTTAAATTACATTTCCATATGGCAAAGAAGTGAAGATTGAGAAATCTACCTCAGAAGACAGGAGAGTTTTGTTTATAACCATTTGGGGCAAATGGTGGTGGTGGTGTTTGATCCAGGCTCTATGTTAGCTAACATGTCCTAGGTCCCTGGCTTACTCACCCTTCATGCCCACTCAGGCTCCAGATGTCCAGGTTCCAGGAGTCACAGAGGCCTGAGGGTCCTCCCTGCCTGCTCTGGATGCTCCCTGCCTGCTCTGCCCACTCCCGATCACCTCCAGAAAGCAGGAGCAGGACACAGCATGGGAACCAGCATGAGGGTGTTGTGGGAAAGGAGCAGAATCCTGTCTCCAGTGATGACCCATAGATTCCTCCTAGAAGCATGATACCATGAGGCTAAGAGGCATGAGACTAAAGACAAATTCAGGATCTAAATCCTCACCCTCGGCCCCACTGAGGCCATCTGAAGAAGGATGGTGGAAAGGAGGCGTCAGATGATATTGGTGGATTGACTTCTGCTATGGCCTGGCCTCTCATTCCTAAACCTTCCCATTGAGAAATACTTCTTTCCTGCATGTAAATGTAATGTGGAGGGGGTATTTACTGCCCAAATGATGACAAGCAGAAATACTAGAGAGGAGAGGCCTCAAACACATCCAAGGAGCCAGCAGGTACTGGTTTAAAGATTTGATGGGGGTGTACATGCCTGTCAATATTCTGAGTCATTCTTAGGTCAAGGGAGCAACAAGCCCAGGTTCTCCCATCCCAACACTCTAGAGGGCTCTAGACAAGTCTTGTCATCTCTCCATGTCTTCATGTCCCTTGTGCATGGTAGCTAGCTATTGTAATAACTACTGCCCCTGGTCATCATGTAATTATGAGAACCGAGGAGGGATCAACGTGTCTGAAAATTAAAGAGCTGGGAAAATACAAGATCCTCCTAGAGGTTCTCCAAATTATCTTGAGCTTGGAAATCAATTATCTCTGAAGGTTTATAAGGCTTTAAAGGGATAATTCTCTTTCTTCCTTTAATAAAATATTGTGGGTAAGAAAGAGGTTTCATCCTTCAGTAGCTAGTTAGTTGTAAACATCCAGGAGGTGAAAATTAAATTGAAATGAATACATGCTTTAAGGGTAGCTGAATGGATGGATGGATGATGGATGGAATAATTCATTCTCAGGATATAAAAATGACAATGCTGATTCACTTCCACAGGGTAAGTGTTTAACATTCTTTTTTTTTTTTTTTACACGAGTCTGACTTTGTTAACTGGGCTGGAGTGCCGTGTTGCAAACTCAGTTCAGTGCAGTCTCCACCTCCTGGATTCAAGCAGTTCTCCTGCCTCAGCCTCGTAAGTAGCTGGACTACAGGTAAGCGCCACCATGCCTGGCTAATTTTTGTATTTTTTAGTAAAATCAGGGTTTTACTGTGTTGGCCAGACTGGTCTCGAACTCCTGACCTCCAGTGATCCGCCCACCTTGGCCTCTCAAAGTGTTGGGATTACAGGTGTGAGCCACTGTGCCCAGCCTGTTTTGCAATCTCTTCTGAGTGGCGGGTATTGGTTTGCCACTGATGAGAGGCATTTGTAGAACTGCTCAGAGTCTACCTGGAGATCACTTCCTGCCTACTCAGCCTGGCACACCATGGCCTTTTGAAATACCATCACTAATCCTGAGTTTCCTTTTTTAACTCCTTTTTTCCAGCTGCCAGGTCATATAGGACTGGTGAGACTCACATGCAGAAACCCTCATATAATGGAAGAAGCCAAGATTGTGTATGATTTCTGGACCTCTGACTAAATACCCAGCCCCCCACACACATACACCCTGTCAAGACAGCATATACAAATGTAGAAATAAGAATGTTGTTGTTAAAGGATTAGTCTTGGTCCTAATTTATATTCTTAAAAAGCAAATCACTTGCCAGGTTTAACACTTAAGCTAATTTCATAACAAATCCTGACATCAAGGTGAGGCTACCCCATGGTGCAGTCAACTGTATCTACAATTATCATTTGCAGAGAAACCCCAAGGAACCTATAGGCATGGAGGCTAGGCATGCAGTACCATGTCCCACACCCCCAGACGGGCCTGGTTGACTCAGGCTGACCTTACCAGAACGGACTTTTGGTTGGCCTGGAGCCTGGAGATGGCATTTTCATTCAACTTGAGTTTCCGCTCCAAGTCTAACTGAGTGCGCTGGAGTTCAACCTAAAAAGCAGAAAGTAGAGAATTAAGGAGGAAGGAGCCCAATGCACACAGAAGGACACAGGCACTCCCCACCCCTGACATCCCCACCCTTCTTCCCTGGAAAGAAGTCTAACCTCTGCAACTGATCTCAAAAGTCAGCCAGGAGGCACAAAGCGTGGGCAGTGAGCCCATGCCCTCCTGGGGCTGCAGTCAGCATGAGTCAGTGAAAACGCAGTTAGCACATACTCTGTGCTGCTCACCATTTCAAGCATTTTATAAATTACCTCACACCATCCTTGCCATACCTATATTAGCTGTAAACCAAAAGTGAAATTCTAAGCCCACCAACCATCCGAATGGACCCCTCCTTGCAGCAAAGGGCATTCCAAAGTTAACCTGAAAAACTAGTTCAGGCCATGATGGGAAGCGGGGGTCAGACATGCCTCATTACACCCTCCTCCCTTTTGGAATTACTGATAGAGCGCACTCTTTAAGTCTGATAAGAAACATTTACAATCTGTTCTCTCCAAAACCTCCTACCTGGAAGCTTTACCCACATGATAAAACCTTCGTTTCCACCACTTCTTATCTTAACTCAGACATTTCTAAGTCTTTAGACAATAGCTTGACTATTTCAGCCAACTGCCTTTCAGAAAATCTTTGTATATCTACCTATGACCTGGAAGCCCTGGCTTCCAGTTGTCCCACCTTTCTGGACCGAACCAATATATATCTTACATGTATTTGATTGATGTCTCACATCTCCCTAAAATGTATAGTAGGCTGTGCCCCAACCACCTTGGGCACACATTCTCATGATCTCCCGAGAACTGTGTCACAGACCACTGGTCACTCATATTTGGCTCAGAATAAATATCTTCAAATATTTTACAGAGTTTTCCTCCTTTTGTCAACATAGGTAAAAATGATTATTATTTCAAATATACAGGTGATAAAATCAAGCCATGCTTCCAAGTTCATCAATGGAGTTGAGCCTAGGCTGACCCCACAAGAGCCTAACAGAGAGTGTAGGCTTGAAGCCAGATGGCCAGGTGGGAAGTCTACATTTTTTTTACTTAGCAGTTGAGACTTTGGGCAAATTTACTTATGTATTTGAAAAACAAACTTTCTTTGTCCTGTATTCACACAACACAGAACACTTTCCTAACCGAAACATGTGGGGTTTTTTCCCACATGAAGCCATTCTCCAACATCATCAGGGTGCCCTAAAACATAACGCAATTCTAACACTCCCTGATCGGAGATGGAAGAGATGCACACGGCAAAGGATGTGGGAGGGAGGTGGCAGCTCCATGCCCTCTCTAGGTGTGGGGTTGGCACGCTCCAGGAACTTCCACCCCTTCAGCAATCCAGAAGCTCCTGGAAGCCCAGCCTTTTGGGTTTATATGGAGGCTTCATCGTGTGGACATGATTGATTACATCATTGGCCACTGGTGATCCTTTCAACCTTCAGCCTCACTTCCCCCCGCCGCCGGAGGTTGGGGAGATGGGGCTGGAAGTCAAACACCTTAATCATAGGGTTGGCTCCCATGGCAACTAGCCCCCATCCTCAGACTCTCAGGAGCCCCCTCAGGCACCCAGTCATCTCATTGGCATTCAAAAAGACACATCACTTCAGAGAGTCTGAGGGTTCTAAAAGCTGTCGGGTGCCAGGAAATGGGGGCAGAGACCAAACCTAAGTTTCTTATTTCACAACTTAATATCTCTAAACTTCCATTTCGTCACTTTTGAGATGGGGATCAATAAACTGTCTGCTTTACGGGATTAGGAAAGAACGGACTAATCAGATAATGTATGTCAGTACGAACTTTGTATAGTACCAGGGACATTATTAATGAGCTCCATGAATGTCAGTGATTGCCAGCAACGTCATCATCGTCATCATTACTCCTGCTACCGTGGCTGCTTTCCATTCATGTTCTGTATTCGAAGCCAGAGCCAGCCCACCCAGCCCAGGCAAGTGCCTGACCAAGAACCTCGGGTTTGCCTGCTTTGGCCCCACCTTCAATCTTGCCTCCTGGGATCCACTAAACACCTTCCGCCAAGAGGTGTGCCAAGGCTCACGTAAGGCTTTGCAAACTTCAAAGACCCTGTCACTTTCCTTCTTCCACAAGTCAATATAGAAAAAGAAAAAAAAAAAAAGAATAAATAACTTTCACTGCTTTTAATAGCTTCTGTCTGCATGTCAAGCTGTGAGACATTACACCCTACTAGAACTCAGAGGGCATAAATTGTCTCTCCATTCTCCACTGAAGACTGAGGGAATTCCAGGTCCCCTGGGAGAGAAGCTGCTGCAGACAGAGGACTTGCCTCTCCAGGACACTCTGCAGAAGGCAGGTAATGTTTGCTCAGGCTCCAGGTCACTGAGAGTGGAGCTGAGGGAGCTCCAGTGACCTCTCACCCTTGATACCTGAGACCTGATACCTGGGAGTGGGAAGTGGGGGTGAGTCTGGCCTATTTGGGGGCAATCCTGGAATCTTGACCTATGAAAAAGGCTTACACAGTGACCCATTCTAGGAGAGAGAAAAGGAACATGAGCTGCTTGTTTAAAGGCAGTGGAAGACACAACAGAGCACACCCTAGCAACAGGCTCCTACAAGGCGGCATCTAAACAGCAGGGACAGAAGAATGTGTTAAAGCAGTCCGCAGCAGCAGGGCCAAAGGGAGGCACCCAGGGAGCATCCAAAGTCAGGGGCTTCTCTCTGCTATTTGCAGACTGCCATAAAAGGAGAGAAAAGGACTCTTGAGTACCTAGTGGGGACTTCCTGAGTGAGTCACCCCAAGAAAAAGCACTCCCAATTACCTCAAAAGGTGGAGTCACTTTGAAAGACTTGTTTTTCCAGTTATTCCTGTTCCTAGAAAATGATGGGGTGCCTCAGCCTCTGGCTTCAGGGTTTCCCAAGAAGTCAGCCACACACATATTTCAGGTCAGGGTGGACCCTGCACCAAAGTGGGACGGTGGTGCCCATGAGCACAGGGAGCCCCAGAGGGAAGGACACAGAGAGTCCTGCCCGCTTCAGCAAGATAATGACAAATGTGTCAAAGGCACACTATTAGGGGTCCGAAATATTTTGGGGCCCACCACTTGCTGGACATATAGACTTTTTCAAGTCATTTAGCTTCTCATATGGTGCAAGACTACATAAATATGCTAACAGAATGGTTCCTTCTGCTACAGGGGAAAGGTGGCACGCAGAGAGTGGCGGCCAGGTCATGTTAGAGATGAAAAAACAAACAGAGGGATTGGGAAGAGAGAAAAAAATTCCCAGACTGTGCCAGTTCCTTCGTATTCCAAGCACACAAGGTTAGCCCTTCTAGAGAAGGCAGAGCTAGAGTCACCTGGACGCTGACCGCATTCCTCATCCAGCTGGTCAAAATTCACCACAGTACATGCCAGCTCAGTCACTTAAGACACACGCTCCACTCTCTCAAAATACTTACAGCCTGGGAGAATAAGAAAAAACAAGGTATGTAATACTGAGTCCAGGGCATTCCTCAAAATGGCTGAAAGAAATTATTATTATTATTATTATTTTGAGACAGTCTTGCTCTGTCACTCAGGCTGGAGTGAAATGGCGTGATCTCGGCTCACTGAAACCTCTGCCACCTGGGTTCAAGTGATTCTCCTGCCTCAGCCTCCCGAGTAGCTGGGATTATAGGTGTCTACCACGACGCCTGGCTAATTTTTAAATGTTTTTAGTAGAGACGGGGTTTCACCATGTTGGTCTTGAACTCCTGACCTCAGGTGATCCACCCACCTCAGCCTCCCAAAGTGCTGGAATTACAGGCGTGAGCCACTGCGCCCAGACCAAGAATTTCTTTTCCCAAGTGGCTACATACACATATTGTCCACTTTCGGGCTACCAGCAAACAGGCTGTGAGTGATGCCGGTTAACTGCTCTCCAGATGAGCTTGGATACTTTTGGCTCTAGAGACTTGGCTCTTGCTCACCGTGGAGACTTTGTCTGCAGTCAGCATCCAGTCCTGAACTTTCTGTGACCGATGCTGAGGTTCAGTGTCGTGGCCTGCCATTAATGCTCTCCAAAGATCTAGGATAAGGCTCAGTTAGGTCTTGTTGTCTCTAGGAACCTGCCCTGGCCTCACTCCCTCACTCCCAGGGTTGGCTCCAAAGGTGCAGTAGTTGCACTATACCAGCCTTTTGGCACTCCATGGAGTTAGGGTATGTGCTTCCTAATTAGAGTCCAAGCTGCTGGAGGCTAGAGAGTGTAGCCCAGCACTTAGCCCATAGGAAGCACGCAGTAACATTTGATACGCCTGAGAAACAGGAATGAACCATACCTTCTCCATGGATCAGAACAAACAGGAAAGGAGGTCATAGAAGGAGTTCAAATTTCACACACACACACACACACACACACACACACACACACACACACGTCTCATTTCCACATAGCAAACCTGAGATTCAGAGAAGGTGAGAAGACTTCACAGCCAGCAGGCAAGACCAGCTGCTCTTAAAACCAAAGGGTCCTGGAGATGCAAAAGGAAGTGCTGGGATCACTATGAAAAACAGCTAGGCTCTGAAAGCTCAGCAGGAGAGAAAAGATAATCAAAGAACACTGCCTCTCAAAGCACGCAGTGTCTGCCCACCAACATGGCTAGAAACCGTAGGAGCTTCAGAAAGGGCTCGCTTGGTTATTGAGAAATGAGTCGTTCTGTGGACCCTAAGCAGGATCTTGCCACTTTGTGTCCTCGTGGCTGCCTGTGTCATTTGCCCTTCACACGCCCTAAAGTGACCTTCAGCAAGAAACTCCAGCAGGGAGTACTAGGCTTTAGGAGCCTTAGTTATGTCTGATGACTTTCAAAATCATCCTGGTGGAGGCTGCAGGCTTGTCAAGGTACTGTGTCTTCTAAGCTGATCTCCTGAGCTCCTTGCAAGAAACCTTTTGGCTTCTAAGATTTGGGGGAGCCACCGAGAGGGTTACACTTACAGAGTAAACTTGCTCTCCAAGCTGAAAACAAGGACACAGGACAGGAAGGACAAGAGCTCTTTTAAGCAGACCAGAAAGCAGAGGGGCCTGGGAAAGTGGGGCTTTTTCAGTGTATACCTAAAGCCATGTTGCTTTTCAGCCCCAAACTGCCCTTGAGCCCATTCCCCAGTTGTCCTCATTTACCTTACACACTTCTCTCCTAGGATGTCTGAATTCAGAGTTTGGCATGTGCTCTACACAACTCCTTCTGCTTGAAATTGCAATTACCCCACGTCTCTGTAGTACATTAGGTGCCCTATATTTAAAATTTATATTGTATCTCTATTGGTACAGGCATAGAACATTTCTGCAAGGAAACAAGAAAGTATAGACCATATTAGCCTTTGAGGAGAAAAGGGAGATGTGGTGATCCGGGATGGGCTGAGGACACTCCTTTCCTAGTAAAATCAATTACACTGTTTGGTGCAGATGATGATGATGATGATTACTAGATGATGATTATTATTACTATTATTATTGAGACAGCATCTCACTCTGTCACTCAGGCTGGAGTGCAGGGGTGCGATCTGGGCTCACTGCAACCACTGCCTCCCAGGTTCAAGAGATTCTCCTGCCTCGGCCTCCCGAGTAGATGGGACTACAGGTGTGTGCCACCATGTCCAGCTAATTTTTTGTATTTTTAGTAGAGACCAGGTTTCACCATGTTAGCCAGGATGGTCTCAATCTCCTTACCTCGTGATCTGTCCACCCCAGCCTCCCAAAGGGCTGGGATTACAGGCATGAGCCACTGCACCCAGCTGGTGGAAATTATTTTTTAACATCTTCATGCATCACTTTTCCAGTTACAAATAGTACAGTTCTTGTATATGTGTGGCAGGTTTTGGTGCAAAAAAAAGAGGATAATATTGTGCAATTTGGTGCAAAAAAAAGAGGACAGCTTTCCAGAGGCTTCCATTCCTCACTCTGTGACTTAGTTGACTCTGAGCTTGGACAAGTGTGGTGGAGATAATGAGGATATGAGATGACTTCACAGTTATTTGAAGACTGGGTGAGAAAATCCACAAAAACCATTTAGCACATGGCAACACTCAATGAAGGCTATTTTCCTCAACTTTAAGGAGCTTTTTCTTTTGATCTATTTCACTACCTGTCCTCCTGATGAGACATTCCCTACCCTGGAAACAGTTTGGCAAGTGGATTCCCGGGCCAGAAATGGTGACTCATTGGCATCTGGAATACAGAGGTTTCCAGAACAATCCCACTAGCACCAGTTAAAATCTATGTCTAGGGATTGACAGAGAGAAGGGGCCCTGGCAAGTAGACCTCCTTTCCCAGAAACCCCTTTCCTTTGATGCCAGGGAACATTTGCCAAGAAATGGCCATAGGTCTGCCGTCTGCACAAAGTGTAAACGGGGAACTTCCTTGATTATGAATGTAAGAAATGTGGGACGAAAGTCAACTACACTTCCCTACTGAAAACTAAAAGTGTTCCCTGAAAGTCAGTGTAGAAGAAAAAAAGCATAAAAGTGCCAAATCCATTTCAAGGAACTTCTCCAGGATCTAGCTTTAGGGCAAAGAAAAACGAGTTGTTCTAGAAACAGTTTCCTTATCTGATGAAAATAAAACAACAGGCTATGAGCATGATGTTCCTTGGTCTCTCCTGATACCTCTACCTGGTGAGGAACTTTTATTTTCCCTAAGCCTCCTGTGACATTATACCTGGACCTAAGTTTCAAATTCTCTGCTACCTTAGCACCCTTCAAGCTCTTAAATTTCCTGTTATCTCCAGAGGGGCTCATTCTACTGGTCTCCTGTTTGGGGTAAAGAGAAAAGGAGAAACTAGGAGAAAGAGTTGTTCTTTTCTCTTGAATTTCTGCCAAGGTTTTATTTCATTAATTGACGATGTGCCACGTGAATCTAGCCAGAGGGATATATCACCACCGTAAGCCCCACAACTTCTGCACCTTCCACCCAAACACATCACCAAAAGCTGTATAAGACACAGAAGGAAACTAGCAAGCAGGAGAAGAGACAGACACAGACAGAGATCGCACAGAGACAGTGGGACAGAGATGGGGACAGAGCAACCTACTCCACACAGTTTCCAAAATCAAGTGCAGTGTATATTTACGCTGACCCAGCAGGCAGACGCTGAGGCTAAAGTCCTTTTCAGTTACACTCAGAGAATTGCAGTGGCGTCAGTGGACCCAGTAGCTGCAGCCAGTGGGGCACACCATCCCCCAGCACCCTCTCCCAAATGGAAGAAGGGACCCCAAGCACTCACCTCCTTGTCCCTACGGGCTGCATCCAGGGAGAGTATGGTATGGCCACTGTGCTCCTGGCAACAGTCCTGGCAGATGCACTGCTGATCAGGGCAGCAGAAGGCAGACAGTGGGCTGTGGTGGGCAAGGCAGTATCTCCAGTTGTGGTCCTTCACTGGCTCAGTCAGCAGGTGGCTTTGCAGTTTGATGTTCACCTGATGCGGCTGCAAGTGCTCATCACAGTAATTTACCATGCAGGTTAGACAGGACTTCGCGGCCTTCACTCTTCTGGTGTCATCGAGGCAGAAGTCACACAGGACCTCTTCCTTCCCCTCACCAGCAGGATCCCCCTGTTCTGCAGAGCCAATGTCCTGTTCTGCAGAGTCACTGTCTTGTTCCTCTGGCTCCCTGTCAAGCTTCTCCGAGAAGCCCACGTCCTCTTCTTCCGCTGGGCTGGCTGACCCAGAATCTGAGCTAGGTGACCCAGAGTCTGGGCTGAGAGGGGCTGGGGGATGAGCAGTGGCCCTGGGCAGTGGCCCTGGAGCCATCAGATCCAACTCAGCCATCTGGGAGGCTCTGCTTCTAGGCTGTCTTTCTTCTGTCCCTTGGCCCAGGATCTGCACAGCCCAAGTCAGACAGGAGGACCACGCCTAGATGACTGCAGCTGCTGCAAGATTTTAACTGTTTCCTTCCTCCCAGAGGAAGCTCAGTCTCTCATTACTGTGTCCTGGGGTTGGATGGCAGCCAGATGCGATGATGACAAGGCAGCTAGATTACTCAGGCTCAGGGTGGCCGGCTCAGGCTCAGGCTGTCTCCTCAGGTCCAGCCCTGAAACTTCTATTCTTATATGAATCATCTGTACCCCACAGGCTCTGCTGAAGACCACGTGTCTCTGTGCCTGCTCTGGAAAGGACTGGAGATTTCTGAGCTCTGTTATAAGCCTGTGTGCCTTTATGTGATCTGACAAGCTACAAATCTGTTTTCGTTTTTTAAAGAGATGTAAAATGTAAGGACTCCAACAACAGGACAGCCATTAATCTACTCCCATCTCATAGAACTGGACATAAGGCAGCTAGAATAGGATGCCTGCTCTAGAGCCTCACTCTGTCCCCCAGGCTGCTGGAGTACACTCGTGCTAACTGAGGTACTAAGGGTAAGGATTCCAACATACACATTTGGAGAAGGAGACACAATTCAGCCCATCACACATGGTCAGGGGACAAGATTGGAAGCCTCTAGGTCCTTAGAAGGAGCTGCTAGGCATGACCCCTAGATGAGGCTACACATTTGCATTTGTGCCCCCATTTGCAGATGGATACAAAGGAATCCAGAATTATTCCAGGGTACCTGGACCCCAAATTCTGTATCCTAGAGCTTTCTACAGCTTTTCCAAGATTATTGAATCAGATACATTTGAACTGAACTCAAACGGATTTGGAAGGTGAATGGAACAGAGAATGACTGGGTGTAGAGGGAGAGGTCAGATCCAGCTAGCCCCAGCGATCAGACATTAGGATGTTTCCAAGAAATTACACTCCCTATGTCTCTGAACCCTGGGGTGAGTGCTACAGGATTTGGATGAAACTAGATAAATACAGGGATGTTTCTTGTCACTGACCAGGACTTTTCAGAAATCCAAGAAACCCAGTGACTACTCAGAGTTGGGAGATAAAGAATACTTTACATATTCATCCCAGACGCAGTCCTGTTTATTTTCAACCTGCATAGTATATGCATAAGTAGCCCTTTTTAGCAATGTAACACTTCCTCAGTGTCCTTGTCCTGACTGCCCTCTTCCACTGAAGAACCTCAGGAGAGGTTTCCTTCTTTCTGATCCTGGCTAGGGTCAGAAACATGCATCCTATTCCTAGCTGCCTTAGGTCCAGTTCTACGGATGGGGAAGGATGAATGGCTGTCCCGTCATTGAAGTCCTTCTATTTTGGGTCCTTTTTAAAAATTGAAAGAAACAAATGTAGCTTGTCAGACCACACAAAGCCACACAGGCTTCTATGAGAGCTCTGGAATTTAATTTCATGGTTTTCATGTCTCCAGCCAGGAGGACTGGCTTCTCCCAGTCCAGACCATTCTCAGTGCTTTCTCCAGTATTAACGGACAGGTGTGCTTTCCTTTTAATCCCTTTTTCAGGGTGACCTGGTACTGGAGGCTGACCTGGTCTACCCGCATGCCACAGGGCCTCTGATCTGAGAAGGGGGAAGAAAAGGTGGTTGCCCTGTCTGGCGCTTTCTGCAGCTTCAGTAGAAATCAGAAGGCACAGAGCCTGCTTGGGTTTCCATGTGGCTCACTTCTTCCCTGCCGATCTCATTCCCACCTTTTCTCCTCTCATGCACTATTTCACGCCTGCCCCTTCTCTGGGCTAACCCTTTCAGAGCAGTTCATGGGCGTGCTCAGCCCTTCATCAACGCCCCCACTGAAGCCCTGAGCTGGCAGACACTCCACAGTGGTGTGGAAAACAGGAAAGTGAATGTGGGCCCTGGCCTGGCCTGGCCCAATCATTTGTCTTCTCTTAACATGAGTTTCCTTGTCCATGAAATGAGTATGCTGGCCTAAGTCAGGGCCAGTAAATCGACTTCTAGTTTGGCCTGTGGAGGAATTATGTTGCAGCAGGGTCTAAGTGCATTTCTGAGCTTACTGGGAGATGGTATCATGTTCAGGTTGTGGTATCTGGCAGGGGCACGGGATTGGGAGTGGTGGCCCCTCTGGAGGCTCGTCTCCAGCCCTCTGGGACCACAGAATTCACCACAACTTCTAAGTCCCCTCTACTGCCAACCCTTGAAGCAGAACACCACTAGGCCCAAGCTCTGATCCTGCCTCCAGGGACTGTGGCACATCTCATCAAGCCTCAAATGTCCATGCTCAAACCCTTGGCACCCAAACATTGAGGCTAGAAAGTCACACGATTCTTTTGAACTCAAATTCCCTGTTGCTTCAAAGGCTCTACAGCTGCCACTCTACTTTGTTCCACTGGGCCCTGGGGCATCTTGATATTCTGTCTCTCCTTGGATTCTGCTTTGCCCCTTGTCTTAACCAAAACTTGAATGTCCCCTAAAGACAATTTTTCCCACCGCCTCTCAACCGGTGCTGCTCCTTCTCTCATCTCCTAGGTGGGATGGGAGTCCCCCTCAGCCCCCATCACAACATCCAGACCATCACTCCTCCCTAGCCCCTTGCAAAACCTGCTCCCCTTATGTGCCCCAAAATACCACCCCTCCTCTCTTCCTGGCCGTCTTCTACAGCCTCCCGGTCATTCCCCTTAGTGACAGAAGATTTCAGCTTCTGGCTCACAGCCTCCCCCTCTACCCCAACTCTGTTACTCTCAGAACTGTCTACCTCTGAATGCTTTTTGGTTTTTGTTTGATTGGTTTTGTTTTTGATTTTTGAAATGGGGTCTCAAAACTCTGTCTCCCAGGCTGTAATGTAGTGGTGCAGTCATGGCTCACAGCAGCCTCAAACTCCCAGGCGCAAGCAATCCTCCCACCTCAGCCCTCAGCCTCCCAGGCAGCTGGGACTACAAGTGCTCCACCACACTCGGCTAATTATCAAATTTTTTGTAGAGATGGACTCTCACTATGTTGCCCAGGCGGGTCTCAAACTCCTGGGCTCATGCAATCCTCCCTCCACAACCTCCCAACATGCCGGGATTACAAGTGTGAGCCACCACATCCAGCCTCTGAATCCTTATTGCCCTATGGTTACCACCCACACCTGGATTTCTTTTTATTTTTAATTGTGATAAAATACAGATAAATATAACATAAAATATAAAGGACATACAATTTACCATCTTAACTTTTTTTTTAATTAAAAGACAGGATCTTGTTATGTCGCTCAGGCTGGTTGTTTGTTTTTGAGACAGGGTCTCCCTGTGTTGCTCAGGCTAGAGCACAGTGGTGTGATCATAGCTCATGGCAGCCTTGAACTCCTGGGCTCAAGTGATCCTCTCGTCTCAGCCTCCCAAGTATCTGGGATTACAGGTGCACACCACTATGCCTGGCTCAATATAACCGTTTTTAAGTGTACAGTTCAGTGACTTTATGTACATTCACGGTGTTATGCAATCATCACCACCATCTATCTCCACAACTCTTTTCATCTTGCAATACTCAAACTGTAGCCATTAACCAATAACTCCTCATTCCCCGTCTCCCTCCAGCCTCTGGAAGTTACCATTCTTTCTGCTTCTATAAATTTGACTACTCTAGGCACTTCACAGGAGTGAGATCATACAGTGTTGTCTTTCTGTGACTGGCTTATTTCACTTGGCGTAATGTCCTTGAGGTTCATTCATGTCGTAGCATGCATCTGAATTTCCTTCTTCATACCTGGAGTTTGCATTCAACAGAGATCCCAACCTCCAAACTTACAAATTGAGAATCCTGACTCTCTGACTATGCCTATAGCTTGCTTAATGCCCCATGGAGAAAATGCCTCAGGTTCATCAGGTGTTAAATGGACATGACTGGCTTCCTCCTAACGCCAAGCATTCAGGGGCTAAAATGAAGTATCTCTTGCATAAGACGAAGGGTCTTTCTTGTCTTCACACAACAAATGTAATTTCACCTAGATATTCCTTTTTCCTAAATCAAACCTGTAGCCAGGAATGTGAAGCCAAGGTGTGGTTCGGGATTCCTTTCCAGAATTGAGGGAGGAATCCCCACCTAGAATTTTGATGACTCAGATGTTACCAAGATATGTGGTAGGCAATTGGTAGTAGGAAGGTAATTATTCATCTTTCATCCCGTTGAGTCTGTGACAAATAATCCAACCAACGGACAAGGTCTGAAAGTCAAGACCTCTGAAAGGACATAAGCAATGCCTGCCAACAGGTCCCCTCCTGGTTTCGGGGTTTAAGACCATTACTCTCAGGAATCTAGGTTAACTCAGGTAAAAAGAGCTTTCTTAACCCAAGCACTCTGTAGCACTGGCTGAAGAAGCTATCCACGCTTTTTTGCTAAACAAAAACACCCTTCCATTTGTCTCTTCAAAATTCTCACTGAATTTTTTCTTCATTTGTGTCTCTGCTGAGTCACACAGAGCTATGATTCACAAACGTAAGGTAATATTTATCCACCAGACTTCAAGAAAAATCAGTCCATCAAACTGAGAAAAATAAAAATAATAAACCCTGAATTTGATTGAATTACAGGATTGTACTTTATTGAGATTGTGTCCTTCCCTCTTTTCTGGAATTACAGGTCTTATCTTTTATAAAATAATAATAATGAGTGTATTTTGGGAATGTCTGAAAGAGTGACAGCTTAGTCAGTCCTCCAAATTCACTTTGCAATTTTTCTGGCAAAATCTCAAAATCTGAGAACCGTTGAGCTGAAAGTCACATCACTCCTCTGGAAACTAGCTCAGAATATTCCTGGCTTACCTGGAGCTGCGGGCCCAGTGAAACTTCTGGCTTGGGATCACTATCAGCAAACTGGTCTCCAGCCCTGCCTTTCTCCTAACATTAAAAGATGGCCTCTTGGATCACTTTGGTAGTTAATCACCACTAACAAAGGAACAAAATAAAGGGGAGGAGAACAGGATTACAGACACAAAGGGCCACTGCTCCTAGTCTCAGAACAGGATTGCTGGAATGACGGCTTCTCCCCAGGAAGAAGGGGCTGACCCAGGGCACTGCACATGCCTTCTCTTCACAAAGACAGGAGGACACACCTGTTGCTGCAGAAGACCACACTGCCAGCACAGTAGCTGGCACACAGCCTGAAGGACCCCACTACTGGATGAAGAAAACACTGAAGTCAGCTTCAACTGCGCCTTTAGTGACAGACATCTGCCAGCCAAGGAGGTGCACCACAGTCGTTTCCTCCCTAAGTCTCCGAAGGTCTAGTCCGGGCTGTTCTAGGGTTCTCTCTTGTCTTCCAGTGAGGTGTGGTGTGGTGCACAGGCACTGCTTTGATCACCATGTCTCAGACCACCCAAGCTTAAGGGGCCAGAATTAGCAGCTACACCACCTAGAAACCTACTTGGGGGAGTCTGCAATGCCCTGGAAATGGAGAGCTCAAGAATCTGACCACATCTCAAATGACCCTCA